AATGCACTTTTAAGTGAGCACGTCTCAAGAAGTGGCATTGGAACTGGATGTTTAAGCGCTTCCGAGGAGGATCCGAGCTATTGTTGAATGAACGCTCTTTTGTCCAAGACTAGGGAAATGGTTGTTTTATTTCTGCGATCGGAACAAGAAAACCCATTTTCTGAATGTTCTTCCTTTCTGCTCTTAACTCTAACGGGACCGCCATAAATGAGCCAGCAGCCAGAAATTTTACAGAGTTTGAATGAAGTTCTATCTAACAACACTAGAAATTTCAATCTTCCCCTCTGTTTATCCAAGCTCTCGGAAATTGCATAAATGAGCCGATAAATGGTTAGAAACATAGACAGAAAATAGAAATAAACAAAAAAACAACAACAAATAAATAGAAATAGACACAATTATTTATGAACCTTTCTTGACACCAAAAATGACAAACTAGGTATTGAGATCTTAAGTCGATCTATTGATTTTGCACCAGAAATTATGTAAAATTTATTTCGATAGAAAAGTTTACTTAACGTTAGAAATTTTCGTCATAAAAATCTGCTGCGCCTTACCACACAAATTTGGGATATTATTCGAAAAAACAAAGAAACCAAAGAATGTGAAAGGGTTTGAATACTTGCGATCATCAAAATATATCAAAATCAGATTTTGTCGGACCATTAAGCTTTTTTGGAACCGCGAAAGTAACAGATATGAAATCTTTGCTCCTTAGCTTGTATCTATGCGGATGTCAAAATTATTTATGTTCTTACTACAAGAAATGTTAGAAAGGCATCTTTTCCTTCCTTTAATACCAAATTAAATAAATTTTAAGTTGGTGGTTGTTAAATTTTTGAGGTAGTGCAAGATACATGGATCATAATACATACAAAATATCTTTATCGTGAGAGAATAGACGAAAGCATTTTGGAAAAAAAGAGAACACATGCAGATCCTTCAGACCATCTGCTTTGGTCAACTTTTTTACGAAATTTATTTACTGAACACAGTTTTGCCTGAGATAATTTGAAAACAGTGACCATCATGATTTTAGCCAAGAAATTACGGTAATGTTGAAAGGTTCAGACTTATGGGCCCTTGTCCGAGTTAGCTAAATTCTGCACAGCACAAACTTTTCAATCGTACAAAAATACAGTTCAAAGTTTTTATTTCCATCTTTCCGGCCATTCACTTACCACTTTTTTGGAAATGAATGTGGAAATTGGTTTTTCATCATATTGCGAATTCTGTTTATGAATTTCAGTTCTCAAATCATTTTTCGCTTAATAAAGGAGAAATTGTTTGGTTAGGAGCCTTGAAGCGTGCAGATCGCAGCGAGGTTTCACACCTTAAGAAGAATAAACCTGCTGGTGGCAAAGCTGTCAAGTGCGATCCAACTCCGGTGATTCCTCGAAATTTTCGCTGTTTCACGGAAATGCTACAGAGAAAGTAAGAAGGAAAAGTGCAAGTGCTAAAGAACAGAACGGGACAATAGTTGGCAATTTTCCCAGGACAAGTCGTAAAACGTCCACCTACTCCGATTTAACAACGACTGACCTTTCTTGTAGTGAACTCGTTTTCATCCTTGAAGCGATTACTCATGATGAGAGTGAACGGGCTAATTTCCGCTAGGGAGAGTTCAGAAGAGTCGCATTTTGCAAAAGGACGAAAAGTTTTGTGGTCGAAAGCGAGTTTGAGCCCAGAAACCACCTCTCATAAAATTCATACATTTTCCTAATTTTGTAATGCGTCTAGCATAACCGTTGTTCACGCTTTAGCCCTTGTAGCTTCGGCACTGACGCCAGTGTCATATAAGAAAACCTTACACTCCTTATTTCATCGAAAAACTATTCAAATATCTGTAAAATCCGATAGCCTCCTAAACTCAATGGCAAAGGGTGTAGAGACTGAGTATCGTTGGTAAATTAGACGGTAATATAGTACCTTTGCGATAATGACAATATTTCTGCGTAAAAATTGGCTAATAAGCGCATTACCACAACGCTCCATGGCCATTCTCGCGCCAACTAAATTGTTATTCGAATCTTCTGGACTCCTGATAAAAGAAAACAGTAAAATGCATCAATTTTCAATCGGACCAGTTCTCTGCCATAAAAAGAGTAGTGTTTGCAACTTGAAGCAATGAAGATACTCGCTTTGTGGCCGGCACGGAGCTGGCACGGTATTGGTCTGCACTGGCACGCCCTGGCACGCAGGCAACTCTGGACGCAGACTGTAATATATAAACTGTTTTTGTCAAAATTAGTAGGGTCTTTGGTGTTTGCTAATTTTACAGTATATGAGGATGGAAGCATCTAAAACTCCATGAAACGTATGTTTGACTTCAAATGCTGCTTTTAGGCGTAACATTACTACTCCTATTAGTGGTCAAAAAATTTATTTCATGAAATTCGGTCCTGTATTGTTAGAATAAAGCCTAATCTGGAGAAGTGTGCGGATCAGAATACAAGCCGAAGTTTTAGTGTTGACTCATTCATTTTCCAAGGTAAAGCTCACTGCGGCTTCTCAGAATTTCTCATTTCATGAAATATCACACTTTGTCCCATTCTTTGCTTGTCCTTTATAACCTTTTCTATCTTTTCAAATAGAAGAGAGTTTGAGTACCGGTTTTCCGCTACATATCATTTTTGACTACAGTGCATGAATTTCACAGGTCATTTCGTATGCATCTATCGTATGAAGAAGAAGAACTCAACCACTGCGTTGGTTTTCCTTTCGAGGCCACTTCCACTTCTTACTACACTCAGGTACGGTAGAAAATTACTACATCCATTCAATGCGATTGTACAGTTTTTTTCTATTGAGTCATTCAATGACATCTGACAATGGGAAGTATCGAGGACATCCCGTTATGGAATAAGAGATGCGGGTTAGAAGAGGGCACAAAACTATTATTAGAGTTCCATCGAAAAGAGAGAAATTTGTGATGTTCGGACATTTTTGTGACCAGTTCTGGTTGACCATGAAATAATAAGCTCTTCACCTCAGCCCGTGCAGAGCGCTTCTTGGAGGGCGCCTCCCCTCCTCCCCCCCCCCCCCCCCGGGAGAATATGACACCAAATTTTTGTAAATGGTACATATGTTATAAAACTGCGCAAATGGCCCATTTTTACCTGTAAACAATTGGAATAAATTTTGGAACTTACTAGTAGACATTTGAAATTTTTGAAAAGCTCCGAAAACTTATACTCAAATGGTCCGTTTATACTCGTAAACAATTGGAATAAGTTTTTGAAACTTACATAGTTGCAAAAAATGAAAATTTTGAAAAGTTCCGAATAAATTCAAACTATCTTTGTGAAGACGTCTGTTGGATTGTGCAAGTGATATTGTCCTTGGGGACCCGACAAGAAAAACACGTAAAAGGTGACTCCACGATCACGACTCTCGAGATGCGCCTTATTTACACGCAAATGTCGTCACCCTCCAAGCATAAACTCATTTCGCGCAAGTGCTGCCTGCAGCGCAGCTAATTATGTACACATGCTTTCATCCTCTTTCGACGTGGGACCATCTGACAACAATGCAGCGAGAATTACGTTAGCTAATTTACAGATTTTTTTCCCATTGATAGTGCTTTTATACTGATTTGTCCCTAAATATTCTAACTACACATTTTGCTCCGCATAATTTGGAAATTACCCTTTTCTATTTTGGAAGAAATTTCGAGATACGAGGGAACATTCATGTGAGTCCTCTGGCCACTTGTACGTGTTTTTGTTTTGATAAAAAAATAAGATAATTCAAAGAAAGCGTTTCTTTACCGCAGGCTGTGCGCTTATAAAAGCCAAATCTTATTCTTATCTGTTAAGGGAGCCTTCCCATTCCCTTTGTTCTTATTGTCAGGTAAGAGCGTTCAGGACTTTTACTTACAGATGAAAAACTTATCAAATAGTCCACATGCTCGCCGATTTGTCGAACAGTTCATCTTTGGCCCTCCAATGTAAAACCAGGCGGTGAGTAACCCTTTGATTGAATTCATCAAAAACCGTGGCTAACGTATACATGTCTCGTTTTCGCCCTTTGCTGACTCAAGAACTTGTTGCAAAGTGAGAATGCGCCATACCTGATTAGAATGTGGGGAAATCACACCTTTGGTGAATACCAGGCCTGTTATGCAATTTCGTAATTGAGATTTTTGCAGGTTTCACCAATGAAAAGGGGACGAGACAGACTTTTTGAAGAGGACGGAATACCTTGAAGTTCATGTAGTTTTGTAGAAGGTTGGCATTTTTTTAGGATTACCTAATTAATCGAATTCCAGAAGAAAAAAGGAAGCCAGATATGGAAGGAAGAACCATAACTGTAGAGCAATATTTTTCAAATTGAGGTAAAGACTTGATTAACTATACTTTATCAAAAAGTGTTGTTTTTCTCGCTATTCTGTATGATCTCTTAATGATTGCAAAATAAAAATTTGCATCTAAGAACTTGAGAATCTCAAAAAGTTCAAACTTGTGAGTTTTTTAGTTTTTCAGCTTCGATTTCTTCTATATATGGAACCCGGCAGAGCATGGCCCCAACATGAGACCTCCCATTACCCACTCTCTCCCATCTAATTGTGTGAAGTCTCAACATTTAATTAGCCCCCACGTACAACCCGTCTGTGCGCGAAATTATCTCAAACCATTTCCTGAATGGGATCATCGCTGCCAGATCAGGTTTTAGTTACGTCCTCCATTTGGCAAGCTGCAGTTGAGACACACTGGACGAAATGACGAAATGACTTCACATGAAACGAGATTTTTTCGAAGTCTATTGGCTTTACGATGCTGTTCTTCAGCTTTTTTTGCTCGGTCATCAAACCCGTGATGGATCGAAAGCAATGCTGCACTGTGTAAGAGCCTCGTAGTCGAGCTTCGAGCGAATGAAGTAGTACGAAAAAGCTGCTAAGGGAGATTGAGAGCGGTTTTTAGAGCTCATATCTCTTCGTTGAAGTGTTCAATGTACGAGCTCGAGCTAGCTTGACCTTTCTATGTATGAGAGTATATAAATTGAGAGTCAAGTGATTTATTGTAAAGATTTGTGCGCCGATACTGGTCGGCAAAACTTTGCTTAGCGACGAGTTCCGTCTTCGAAGAAAACACCGCCATCGATAGCGCAGTATTTGGGGCAGATTCCAGGTTCTCCAGCGGTGCCAGCTGGTCCGGATTCTCCAGGAGTTCCTGGGTTTCCGTCGGCTCCTGGCTGTCCATCTTCTCCATTTGGTCCCTTTGGTCCAGGTTCTCCTAAAAGAAATATTTTGACCAAGCAGGATATTCAATGTTTGAACTAGACATACCAGGTGCTCCATCGCTTCCAGGCTGTCCATCAGGTCCAGGTGGTCCTTGTGGTCCAGCTTCTCCTTGTGGGCCAGGCTCTCCAGGAACAAGCTCCTCAGAAACAGCATCAACTCCAGGCTCACCATCATTTCCAGGCACTCCTGGAACTCCAGGTGGTCCACTGTCTCCCTTTGGTCCTGGCTCTCCTGGTGCGGCGTCCTGTCCAGGAGCTCCTGGAAGTCCGGGTGCTCCAGCATCTCCTTGAGGTCCTTCCGGTCCTGCTGGTCCAGGTGGTCCAGCTGGGCAAGGCTTGCATGGTGGTGGGGTGACTGGCTCGCATGGCTGCTGTGGTGGGCGTCCTGGGTTTCCGGGTAGTCCAGGCGCTCCTGGCTTTCCTGGGCGACCTGGGGTACCGGGAGTACCTGATGGTCCAGCTGGTCCGGGCAAGCAGCACGAATCGCAGTGGCTTCCACCAGCGGAGGCGCTTCCACCGGATACTCCAGCGTCACCGTATCCAGCCTGACGGGCGGTTCTGTTGACGTTGGGGAGGTCCTTTAGACTGCGCACTTCGCTCCAGATATCCTTAGCAGACGACTTGCAGAGGTTAACCTCGTTGTGCATGACTTTCTTCATATGGTGCACATAGTTGTACACCATGGGCAGGGTGACGCAGACGGAAAGCACCGCCACCACGGAAAAGGTGACAGCCGAGTAGGCGACGAAGCGGTAAGCCTTGATGCGATGTTGTTGGTCCATGGTGAGATGGCCAGTGATTCGAAGTGCGCACTTTTTCCTTATATACCTATGCGCGCAATGTGTTGATATTTCTAGAGTCTCCGTTTTTCATGCGCTATTTTTCAGCTTCATCGTTATGCAATTATGCGCCGCCTCCCGTTTTGACATATGTCAAACGTGTTGTAAAATTTGAGAAATTCTTGCTGGCGGTGTAAATCTGATAAGCCACACTCATTGAACAAACACCAAAACATATCTATTTCAAGACGAGTTTGAGTTTATTTTGGTAACTGCAATCGAGCGAATGCGATAGCAACAAACCAGACAGTGGTTTGGACATCAAAAGCTTGAGTAAAATTTTCATATCGGTGATAGTTGGTTATTGAACTCTCAGATATTCTCACGGTACTTTAGAAAAACTATACATATGGAGTCTGCATCCTCGGATATGTACCTAGCCATATCTAAAGGACTTCGAGTTAGGAGAGTCTGTCAATATTATGAATATTCAGTCACTGACAAAAATGTTGCGTCAAATCTTTAAAAACTCGTTCAATCATTCCTTCCAGTTGACAAAATAGGTGTTCAAAACTTCTGTATGGCATTTGATTTATAAGTGATATATTCGCTATTCTGAGAAATTAAGGCTGAAACCGAGACTACTCAGATTTCCAGAAAAGTTGATTCATAGCAATTTACATGCGCGCAACACCGAGTTTATTAGTTTTTCCTAGAATGATTTCGACTATTAGGTTGTCCCATAAGTCTTTCATGTTCAGACCTTCAATTCGATATTTCTCAAGAATTAGGGAACCTAGTACGCTGCAAATTTGTGGCAGTAATTCTGAGTGGATAAGCTATATAATCACCTAATTTCGGGGAACACAGAGCTGATACAGGCAAAGTTTGATAATTGAGCGCTTATCTTTTTCTTGGTTTCTAGGCATAAGAAAAATGAAACAAGTTGTATAAATATCCGATGAGGACATGCATGAGTGGAAATTTGCAGAGTCGTTTTGAACTAAGATATGACGATTTTCGTTTTTTCGGAAATTCGGAAATTATTTTGTTTTGGCTTAGAACAGGTTGCGGATTAAGCTTTGTGCGAACTTTCGAACTGTCGAATGTTACCCGGCATTGTATTGGGAGTTCAAGAACAACTAATTTGTATCGCTGAAGAGTCAGGTCTGAAAAGACTTATGGGAAAACCTAATACTTAGATATCCAATCAAGAAATCATGTACAAAGTATTCGTACTACTCGTAGACTTCAGCCTCGGGACGAAAATATCATGAACTTCCAGCTAAACATTCGAAGTATATTCAATGCAACATGGCAGGGCCCGGCAGGAGGTGGCATTTCAGAATTTTGAAAACGATATCCCCTTTGAAGCCAAAATTTCTTACGACTTCCCCTTTGACCCTATTTTTGACCCCCGTAAGTCCCTCATAAACAGATATACACAAATAATAAGATGGGCGGCCTCAGCGCTTATTATAGTAGTACTACCTGGCTTTCCTGGTCCAGCCCGGGTCATCGTTTGAGGGGATGGCCAAAAACCACACTTTGTCCTTCTACCTTCTCGTCCTTTTGGGCCATATTCTCCACCCCTTTTCTGCAGTATCAATACTGCACTGCAGCCCTCCCCCTTACCCTCCTGCACGAGCTTACCCCAGAAAGGCTTATTGGAGCGACTGCACCTTCTAATTTTAAAGTGGAAATGAACTTCACTGCATTGTTCACACCAAAATGTGCAAGCAGTTTGTTAGCGGCTGGTAAGTGTTCACTTTCCTTGCAAGGTGCCAAAAATCATTAAATCGATAGAAGAATTCCACGAATTGCTTCGAAGGGTAGCTTAAAATCATCTACCGAGGCCGAAAACATATGTTTTCAAGGTTTCAGCTCAATGGGTTCATCCGCAAAGGAATCTATAAAAAAACATAGGGTCAAGATTTGCACAAACTTTGACGTTTATATATCTAAGATACTACTCATTTATTAGTCAGCTGCGAAACTTTACAATTTACAATAACCGATTGCGATTGGAGCGCGCTTTCCGAGGCCGATCATAACGCTGTGAACCCTATTTGGGGCTGTATCGAAGCGGTGCCTTGATGGTTTTGGAAGCGGATTTAAACATATAGTAATACTCTCGATCTAGTCCACATTTATGTAAAGAAATCCGGGAAATTATGTGAAGGGAAGCAGGGAGCCACCCCAGGTGGCTCCCAGGTGGCGCGGGAGCCACCTAATTTCGAAAAACACTTACCATTTTTTAAATTCACATAAGTTTCTCATAATTCTTCATACTTTTTTTGTGCTCATGGTCCTCCAACTATACAGCAAATTTGGTGACATATCGTTACTTGTGCATTGAAAACGAGCCTATTTTGTATTTTCCTCTCACAAGAATTGCGATTTGAATTCCCGCCTGCGGGCATAGCGATCGGAGCACAGAATCTTCACACTGCTGGAATCTAAGTTCATAGGACAGTAGCATCAACAAGGAATGATGAATAAAGAATGATATGTGCATTGTTTATCGGTAACCGGACCCCAAAATACGACTCCCCCTTTGCTTTTTCGGGACAAAAACGATATCCAGCTTGTGAAAGCGCCACCCCCGCCGGGCCCTGTGCATAGCACTTGCCTTAGATTTCAAAACGAAGCAATTTTTAGTTTGCACGGATCAAATAATCACAATTTTTGTGCCTCTCGATTCCGTGAATCCTTAAAAAGCGAATTCTGCAGATTACACTGTTCAATTACACATAATAAACATTAACATGCGTTTACCAAAGGATGAACACATGTATTCTCAGAACTTACACGTAAATTGTGGAACGTTTCGTTCTTTCCCTCGAACTGATTCAAGACTTTTACGAAAAGTGAAGGTGGTAGTGTCGGACATTCATCTCCCAAAAAGTCGACGGAGGGGGGGGGGGGTAGAACGGACGAACAGAGCTACAATACCACCCGTAATTTGTGAAAAAAAATGGCGGCGGCACTTAACTTACGCGGCGCCGCCATTTTTTTTCACAAATTACGGGTGGTATTGTATCTTTCTAGGTCGAACTGTGACCCAACGGCCCTCTTTAGGGCCACAGATACGATGAATATCAAAAATATTTATAAATTCTATTTATAAAAATTTGAAATAGACGTGTTTAGTAAATGGTGTATTTGGAAGAAAAAGTTTGTGAGACTGTACGAATTTTATTAAGTAAATTTTGTTATAACATACTGCGAAGTAAGTAGGTCGATCTAGGCAAAAACGGCCGAGAACCAGAATTTCGAATGATAAAATAATGAATAATCGTGAAAAATCATTCCATTGTTACAAATCTGCTGGCTGAAGACCTCCGCAGTTGCGACTTCACAGGTTTTGAAGGGTGCGTGTTGTTCTACCAGATAGTGAAAGAATCAGTTTGATTTGAGGAGTGGCCGCCGAGAACGAGAATTTTGAAAAACCTTGAAAATCTTCTCAATTTTAGGTTGCTTAATGACAACTGACATTTAAACTCTTATAAATCCGGATTTTCAAGGTGTGCGATGTTGCGACTTCATAGGTTGAGGTTTGCCCTATCAGAATTTGTCTTAGCTGTACCGATCCATTGAAACATCGCCGACCAGGCTCTTAAAAAAGCAGGTAAAAAACCGTTTTTCAGCTCATAACTTCTTCAGAATTGCATAATTCATGTTGGGACTCCATAGGTTGGATTCTCCTCATCAAGAACTTTCAAATGATATATAATATGTGGGGGATTCACGTCCGGGGATGGAGTACCTCTCTTCACTAATTCTCCACTGGCGGCCTCCCGCCAATACATTGAAATGGGCGTGGTGGAGAATTAGTGAAGAGGAGTACTCCACCCCGGGTTAGAGCCGCAAGAAACATTGAATCCCCCACATGTTATATATCATCTGAAAGCTCTTGAAGAGAAGAATCTAACCTATGAAGTCGCAACATAATTCATGCAGTTCTGAAGAAGTTATGAGCTGAAAAACGGTTATTTACCTGCTTTTTTAAGAGCCTGTATCTCGGCGATGTTTCAATGGATCGGTACAGCTAAGACAAATTCTGATAGGACAAACCTCACCCTACAAAACTTATGAAGTCGCAACATTACACACCTTCAAAGTCCGGATTTATAAGAGTTTAAATGTCAGCTGTCATTAAGCAACCTAAAATTGAGAAGACTTTTGAAGGTTTTTCAAAATTCTCGTTCTCGGCGGCCACTCCTCAAATCAAACTGATTCTTTCACTTTCTGATAGAACAACACTTACCCTTCAAAACCTATAAAGTAGCAACTGCGGAGGTCTTCAGCCAGCAGATTTGTAACAGTGGAATGATTTTTCACGATTTTTCATTATTTTATCATTCGAAATTCTGTTCTCGGCCGTTAAACTGCCTGGATCGACCTACTACATAGATATATGCTCTTAATACTTTCTTTTACATTCCTTTTGCTTGTTTTCCTTCTTTTGAGCTTTAGCAAAAAAATTTTCAAACCCAAAAGTGAAGGTGGTCACCCTGTACCAGCTCAAAAGTGAAGGTAGGCGGAGAATCCGACTATCGCACCTCTAACGCGAAGTGAACAGTAAGTGAGCTCTAATAGAGTGAAAATTTGTAACATTGTAAATTGATTACGTTCCAGTCATATTTACCAATTAGGGAACTCAAATGACTTCTTAAACGCCTATGATTACTTGACAGCATTAATTTGCAGAAACCATGAAATCTATTAGTTTCCTACGTTATCTCGACCGATGTCAGTCCAACAAATAAAGCATTAGGATATTTCTTACGCTATTCAAGAGTGAGATTCCATACAGTAGGGTTAAAACACAGAAGGAAGGCTTTCCTTTTTGCAGCGCTTCAGAGAAGTGTGCCTTGAAAAAACCACTTCATCTGTTCGAGACCATTATAGTTGATCTTCAAATGTGAAATCGCAGTTTTTTCTTAATATTCACGAAGCTATAATTTAAGGAGAAGTGGCAACTTAGACCATGCACT